TAGAGTGTATTGCGTCATGAGGCCACGGGTCAAATATTAACCCCAAACCCCAATAATAATTAATAATTTCACAACTTGTTACTTAGATAGTTTGAAGTTGCACAATTCGCGTAACACATGAACAATTTGGCCAGATGGTCACCGATATTGTCCAATATAATTACATGCATATATTATTAGAGACAAGAATGCACACCGGGAACATATAACGCCATGCATGGATTACATAAAACAATGGTTTAAAAGGTATAACAACAAATATGCTTGGTATGGTATCTCGTCCATGCAATAGTTCAGTGATAAACGCGGCCTTCACAACGGACCAATGCGAATACCTGGTTAAAAATGTACTACACACACCACAACAAAGTCTGTGAGAGGGACAGTGAACATTCTTCACTCTTTACGTGCATATTTGTAAAATATTACAACTAACAATAAAATAATAGTTAACAAATTAATAAGTTGGAGTGTAAAAAGTATGTATCTTTAATAAAAAAACATTAATTTTAACATCGGTGTCGATTTGTAACAGCCATTGCTGAAATATGGAAACTGAAAGCGAAATGTCAAATACTAGAGGCTATTTTAGAGGCTAAACCTCCCTACGATGACCTCTCACTGATTAATGTATGTGTCATGTACCATAATGCACCATGTGACCGATTTCAACAAAATGGCGACGACTCCATCCTTAGTTTTCACATCGCATTTTATGTGACATTAGCCCTGTGTACGATTCTTTCGCCCATGCAGTTGTGTCTAAGACAATATTCGAATATGATATTGTCATCTTTATGTGTTCATATAATTGAATTCTACATTAAATCATATAATGTTTTAAAGTCTAAAATTGTATACCTGAATATCAACCGAAATAAAACAATTGCATTTCCCACTGGAAAACATTATGACAGACCTGAAAATACTAAAACCAAAGAAATAAAATACGATAATACTGAAACATACATTGTGTAGGCCTTCTCGTTTTATTTACCATTGTCCTCATTAAAGACAATGCGTTATTGGTTTGCCACTATGCAAATTTAAAATGAGCCATTCAATGATATCATCATTTACTTAATATTAGACATTATATGGAATTTACGAAGGTTGCTATTTATTCCACGCGCAAATACATATATTCCATTTTATTATTCAATCTAAATCGTAACATTTTAAAATTGTTGATCTTAGTAACACATATTTGACACTTAAATAAATATAATTTTATTTAAATTTAATAGGAACAAAGGTCACACAAATATTATTGTTCCCGTTCTTGACAACAAAGAATAAAATGATATCAGTGTTGCCAACAAGCATTGCACATAGAACTACAATTTACTTATATAAGCTTATATAATATGTGTCGTAATGATATTGCAGAAAATTATATTAACGTAAACAAGGTTTAGCTGCTGAATATTTACACAGGGCGTAGCGATAAGAGTGGTAAATATAATACCATAACCGGCGATTAATACAATAATTTACATGACTGCATTAATAATACAGACAAGTGAAATAGACTGTAGTTTCATACAAAATATTCCCCACTCTGACGATATTCCAATATGAAATAAAGCTTGATAATATTTCTTACCTGCCACAGATGAATAAATCATTAAGTATAAATACCCGGGATATTATTAGAACAGTAACACTGATATCTGAAAACGGGTGCATTTAACTGGAAATACGCGTACTGTATTCTGTTACAGTACTATGGCCTGCTGCATTTGGGCAATATTAGCTGTGGTTCATGTCGTTAATGAACAATGTCAACTCCCCGTGATGAACACACTCCACTTCACCATGCAGACAGTCAGGCTCGACTGCCTTATAAGAACAATACCACGTGAGTATTTCTGTATTGATTATTACGGATAACGTGTCAATGATGTTCGTCCAAGCAACGACTGTATGCATCAGATACTCAATCAGAAAATACTGTATTAATTTTTTTCTATGTTTTCTGTGCTATATTCGTGTAGTTTCGTAAAAAGAAGTACGTAAATTAATTGCGCACCAATGCAGCCATGGGCGGCCCTACTTTTGTGTGTTTTGGTGACGTTGTTTGCGACTATACTTCACAGCAGTTAGTGAGTTGTTACGTCATCTATGCTAATCTGTAAATAATAAAGCTTATTTTGAAAAAAATAGGTTTTTGGTGAAGACGACATCAAAGGGCAATTCTGCGGTTATTCATCAAATCATCGACACTTAAACACTGTGTAAAAATCACTCTCCAGTTTTCCTTTTTTCACCATGTTAATAACGTCTTCATTTTTATTAATAATATTCAGCTGGTAACTGACGTAACAAGTTAGGTGTTTTTATCCATATGGGACATATTCATTCACGTAATAACGTCTTAATTCAAAAACAACACCCAAATCGTGTTGCATATTTTGTTGCATAATTTAATTTTGCCAACACACACAGAAAACGAAATAGTCGCACATTTTAATACAAAATAATATATCCTAATGTTCCATTGAATGCACTGAACTATGGCTCCATTCCACACTCTATCGTCATCTATGTACACTTATGTACTTGGAACATTGCATGCAATGACGGGAAAAGAACACAATTTCCGGGGCAAAAACAAGGCACGTGTCTCTTTCGCTGTCTGTAAAGTTTTTGTTTTGTAGCCATTTGCGAATAAGATTTATTGACAAAATATTTCTCAATCAAATTCGGGATTACTTTGTCATGTCACAATGATCCCCAACAAAATGTTTGCTGTGTTACACTATATTGCTCACAGGAAAATTTTATGACAACTTGGTTTTCTGACTGTTTGGAAATACCGCATCCAGGATACAGTGCTCTGAAAACAACAGTAAACCATTCCATTGATTACATTTTGTCATAGTTTACTACTCAAATGCCAATCTTCAAATCACGTATATACAAGAATTCCGCCATCTTGTTTGTTCCACAAACAATATTACCCAGCATGCAGTCCCACAATATTCTAATTACTGTGTTTCGAATATGCCTAATTAAGACCGTCTTTGTCTTTGTAACAAGGAATATCTGAGCATTCTCTACAATTTAAATTATGTTTGAAAGAAGTTGTTCGTCAACTCATTGGAACTTGCCTGTATGGAAATATTAGTATAGAATTGATGAATTTGGAATTTTTAAAAGCACAACAAATTATTTATATTTCGCTGAATGAAATGTTCCATGAAAATGAAAATTAAATAAAAATAAAGTTATTTCCATGGAAACAATGACTTTGCGGTTTCCATATAGCGTTAAACCGTATCGACAATTGAGAAACTGAACTTGAGATTCACAACTCGAAAACAAGTTAGGGTATTCAAATTGTTTTCGAGTTTTTTTAATCACAAACAAATTGAAACAATAATTAGTATAAATCTTAGAAAATTTATGTTGCAAATGATATTGTTATGAATTTTATGGAAGACACTTCCTACACTGGAAAGGTTGTTTGAAAATATTTTAAAATTGTTTTTAAGACGTTTAAACTATGATTTGCCACTTGTTATTAAAAATATTCATTTCTTACTGTTCTGAAACTCGAGCTATGTATATTCTCTCAAATATCATAATATGTTGTTCTCTACGTCATCATCACACTTCGTTTAACATTTATTCGTTGCGGGATCTGTGACGTTAAAATTAAAACATAATATTAAATATAACAAAAGAGCACGTGACATGGTGTGCGTATTTATGTTAAATATCGGCTAAGTGAAGCATAAATGTGACCCCACCCTGTTAAAATGTATTCGTGCTTATAATCAAGGGATGTGGCAAAACAATACAACATACCTTGATAAGAATATAACACCAAATAAAAGGCATGGTAAATACTACGTCAAATCAAAGAAAACACCTTCTGTATGCATGACTCGGACCGGCGCTCGCTCCCAAATAATATGCTTAATACACGAGCTTAATACGTAGAGGCGGCAGGAAACCCGTCCGCGCGATCCACGCCACACAGCATAGCCAGACATTGCGGCAAAGGCCTTCAGATCTGGCTGTACTAGAATGGTGAAAGCCGAAGGTAATGGTACAGTGAATAAGTACTGAGAAATAATTGTAAACTGATAGTTGCTGCTGACATGGAAAGTAACATAAGAAAATAACATATGAGATCTAAGCTACTTCTTCCAGACTTGTTTATTTGTTTTATTCGTAAATCTTGATACTATTTTGAATGAGGACAATAAATGAAGGACAGATAAATCCTTATTCACACACGTATCACCATAATGAGAACGCATGCGCAGAACAAACAACAGCTTTATTACGTTACAGGTGTAAAGATAGAAACACGATAGCCCAAACACGTCATTTTTTACTGAAATAAAATTCCAAATAATTCATTATAAATAAAATGCATGCCTTTTTGTCACATGAGTTGGGAACCAAATAGAATTAGTTTCTCGATATTTTACAGAATAATAACCTATATTGAAATATGACTCGGTCTGTACATCATTAAAAGTAATCAGCTTGTATGGCATATGCATTGTATTAAACAACAATGTACATAGCTAACATGAATTATTAGAACATTGCTAGGAATAGATCTCAAATAATGTGCTATATATGGGCAAATAAACAAAAAAACTGCCTGGGGGGGGGGGGCGAAGGAAATTGAGTACTAGAGTTCAAGTACTAGAATGTGCATAATAATAGACTCAAATATAACAGTATTAAGTGATATCGTCGTTTAGAAATAATGTACCACGCAATAAAATGTCTTGATGAATTAACAGTAGAACTTCGTTTATTAATTAAATATTTAATTAAATACCTAATATTCTCACTATATCCACCTACTACTGGGTTTAAATATATCAGGCTTATACCACGTGACTCTCTGTTCAGTTATTTATAGTACACAAACAGATACCATTTTGTCAGTGTGCGTGTTTTCTACAATACAATCGTTGGGTCTAAAAATTCTGATAATAGCCGAATAATATGTGACATTTCTGTGTTGCACTATGACGCGCGATACAGATCCCGAGGAAACAATACTACTTCATAGAGATGACAGGGAGTCGGGACCAATAACTGCAAACCTCACTTCGTAAGCATCTTTCTCATTTTTATTCTCAGTGTGATTTATTTAGTGTGTGAATCGATATACACAATCCGTATAAGCAAGGGTTAGATAAGGTTTTATTTCCGAGAAAACCATAAACGGCAACTAATCGACTGTCTTTGTTGAGATTTTTAAAAAAAATGCATTACACTCGCGAAGCTGACTTGGTTTCCAAAAAAAATTTATTATTATAAATTATTATCCGCACAAAATAATTGACATGTAGACTTGTTGCTATAAAGTAAACAATTAACTTGTTAAATGACCTAATTAGGTTTTCATAAACTGTTAGCTTTGCACTGTTCTGATAGGTATTGGGTGGAGGGGTTCTGAGCTATGATCATTTAATCTGACTGTTTTGTTATATTTTTAGCCATTATTTGTTTAATCCCTACAGATACAGACAGACTGCCTGGTAAATGTTTTGGTATATTCACCCCATGAGGAGTGGATTTTTTTTATTCCATTAAGAAAGGATAACTTGTAATTCTTGTAATTTTAAGCTAACCTTTATGTTTGATTTTAGCCAAAACTCTGATGTAATTACTTCAAAACTATTAACCATGATTGTGTAAACTTGCATATATATTGAATCCGAAGCAACCGATATGTAATAATACCCATAATCAATAAACTTTTCCTTTTCTGAAAACAAATTTGACTAAAAAAGAAACACAAAATCTACGTATTCAATATCGACGCAATTCGTTTAGTGGTTTCAAAACAGATGAAGAAAAATATTTTTACAAAACACACACACACACACACACAAAATACAAATATGTAATATATAAATGTGAGTATAAATAAAATTAACCAAACCTGTAGAGTTGGTCCTGGTCAGTTATATATTTTTCTACATACTAATCGACATAATTAATACATTGCATGATAACATGAGTATGTTTGAATGAACGGATAATTTTTTTCAGAAATCTGCAGACACTTATGCATATATTAAAAGCAAATATTGGTCCTGGGTTTCTTGGAATGGCGTTCACTGTACAACATGCTGGACTTCTGGTAATCACAAAGTTAACTACTGATAGTTTGTATAAATTGTCGTGTATATTATAGTAATGATCTCTAATTATGTATCTGAATATTGTTAATATGACTACAACCTCAACTCTATACTGTTGGTGTCTGCTAGTAGACGGTGAGTAGATATATATAGACAATCTTGTAATATGATTACAATTTGTGTTTCCGTCAGCTTGGACCGTTTTCTTTACTTGTGTTAGGAATCGTGTCTACACACTGTATGCAGATATTGGTGGATTCCAGTCACAACCTCTGCAAAAGGTATGACATACAGTTATGAGACAAATGCATTGTGTACTCCTAGTATTTAGTAAGGTCACATTGGTATTATGTTTAGTATGGGCGTTCGTGAACTAAATAATTTGACTACTGGTTCATGTTTGAGGCCGGGTTTAAAAAATAATAAATGATGTTTGCGTTTATGTTTAACTATTAGTGATCACTATTTAATTATACAATGATCTGAAGGAATGCACTAGCTATGCGACACTTAAAATTTGATTTCTCGTTTATACTTTACACACATAGCCCTTTGTTCAATATTTCAGGCTTTGAAGAAAAATAAGAATATGCTTTTATACATTTTGTAACAAAATAAATGTAACATGTATAATAGTTAAATGTCATATTTATTTTAAAAATAAGTGACTTTGAACCTGGGTCCCATTCTTAACCAACGAACAATATTGTATACCACGACGCTTAATTATATATTATTCGCGGGTAATACTGGAGATAATATGAGGTTATTACGGATAATTATGAGGATTCCTCAAAGTATCGACCGACGCGCAGGTGACGACTCTCCCGCTTTAAATATGCGAACAATGTTGAATGTGCATATTATTAGAATATCCAGATCAAGTAATAGATGGGATGTCCTCACGTAAACAAAATTTACTGATTCATCTTTTTAATATTGGTTCATTGCCATAATTAATAAAATATGAGTCTATTCATTAATTTCGTTGTCACACGTGTTGTCAGCGTTGTCATAGGCAGCGCTTTGTATGACACGATATGACACCATGGATGTCACCACACATTTCAGCGTTACGATTCATCTGTGCAATAATTGTATATTATAAATATTTCAGAACCGGTTGTGCTGCTCTCGACTACGGCTGCCTAGCCCATGATGCAATACAACAGTCTTCCAATACCAAACTGAACTCGTACGGGAATATAGGCAGGTTAGAAACGAATTTGTCCATCATATCATCCCTATACGTTCTTGCTAATTGTGGCAAATATTCTGGCTGAACTTCGGGGATAGATCGGAACTTTTTTTTAAATGTTGATATCGTATGCGACTCGAATTCTTTACAGTATACAAACAGTCCAATATCAATTAGTAAAATAATTGGTGCTTAATAACATTGGATGCACCAATGAACCTCGTCATTTAAGGTAGAGATGCAGGTTCGTGGGCACTTGGGAGTGAATTTTTTTTGTGTTTTTGCTTTTTATTATCCAAACAGTCTTGGCTATAGACTGTAGATTTGTGAATAGTGGAACATACTCTAAAGACGATTTTAAAATATAGAAAACAGGTACAAACATTCTCTTTTTTGAATGCTTAGCAAGATTTAGCATGGCTGTACATAAATAATCAAAAAGAAACATGGTGAAAAAAAGTAATGACGAGATCTCCATATTATGCACTATATTTAACTTTTAACAAAACGATAATACATTTAAATTTGGAACTGTTACAGCCATTTTAATTATGAGCAATAGCAAACTTCTTACTGAGTGAATGGTTATGCAAATTAGCAATTATCTCAGTTTCTTTTTAGTGTACATCCCTGAACTTTAAAAAAAATAGCTCCTAGACGCTTTGACCTTTTGTTTTGAAATGTTCACAAATGATTGACAATGTGTTTATCTTTAAAACACCGTCGGGGCATTGTTTTTGATTAAACAGTGTTACAACAATCGTACAGACAACTAGCCTGGGTGTTAATTTATGCATAAACTTGAAGTAGTGAAATTTGAGCTACTGCCTTGCAAAATTGACAACTGGTAGACAGTTTTCAAGACGGCTCTTTCTTCATAGTAAACAGATGTACCCATAAACCAATTTTGACAGGAAACAGAAGCATGGTTTAGGAGCTATTTTTTTTAAATAACTTTTGACCAAAAAAAAGCACATTTTTGTGCATATTTCAAACTACAGTGTCCATAAAAAAATAATAAAAATTTATTAAATTACATACAATAAGTTTTCCGGAAATATGTAGTTTTGTGGACAAGGGAGGTCATCTTGGTTTCCTAATTAACTAATTAAAATACCTGTCAAGTAAACTGAATCTTTACCTTAAATAGAGCTGAATACTATCATAGTCACCCATTTTGGGCTAGTATCATGAACCTGACTCATTAATCATGTTATTTGCAGGCACGTGGTGAACACTTTCCTTGTTTTGACACAACTTGGTTTTTGCTGTATTTACTTTATATTTATATCCGATAATTTCCAACAGGTGATTATTAATTTAATATTAAATGTCCGACAGAACGTATGTTACACCTTTTTCCATATCGTACATATTGTCATCAATATTCAGTAAATGACACTCGATGATAACACTTACAAATTAAAACAAATAGGTAAAGATGTATTACTGTATAACGCCACGTTTTAGAGTTAATACTAACACCGTTTTCATTTATTGTCCATTGCAAATTATAGTTGTCGCGAACATGTTGCAATTGATCTATTTTCTGATGCCATATTAAACTAAAACTTATTCCGTCATGGATAGAATCATTTTGAAAACATATATTTGTGCAAAATCAAATATTCAGTCTTCTTTTAACCAAAAATGTCAATGACAACATATAAAACATATTTAATAAAATTAGATTTCTAAGAAGAAATATTGATTTTTTTCTTTTTTTTTCTTCAGGTATATAGACAGTTCCACCCTAACTACTCCAGTAATACAAATATTTATGGCAATACTTGCTATAGCATTTATACTACTTTCTTATATCAGAAACTTGGACACCTTGTCAATATTTTCAGCAGTTGCCAACCTTCTCATAGTTATTGCAGTAGTCATTACATATGAGGTATGATATTCCTTTTTATCATAATTTATTACCCTGTCCGTGCAAAATATTATGATATAGCCCTATTGGAATCAAGAAACTCAGTAATTAGGTAGACAACGATATGAATATACCCCCCCCCCCCAAAGTACAACGATGGTCAACATAAATGTTTAGTGAGATGATTTTTTTTCCAGTATCTCATTTCCGGAATTTCAGAGGGAAAAACGGACCTGAGTTCTCTACCACTTGCAAAGAGCATAAGCGCTTACCCGATATTTTTTGGTACAGCAGTATTTGCATTTGAAGGAATCGGAGTGGTAAGTCCGAGATCAATGTGACGTTCTTAAAGACATTAAACTGACACAAAGCGATAGATCCGCATCATAAAAGCTTAAAATACTTATCAGCGAAGGTCTGATCCCACATACTAGGCACTCCCATTGTACCCGGCCTACAAACTAAGTTCACTATGTTTATTTGCACATCTATGGTATAAGATACCACAATTTGTTGATGTGCTCGAAAAGAGTTATTGCGGTGACCTTCAAATCCAAGATGGCGTCCAAGATGGCGACCAAGCCTGTACAACCTAATATAGCTGGTTCCATTTGTGTTGTGATAGAATATTTGTGAAAGTGGCTAAATATATGTTTTTCTGAACCAAAAAGTTCACGAACTAACATTCTATGATGATAAAAGTATTGTTTCTTATCAAACTGTAAGATATTCACCAATATTTGGTGCAAACCACGTTTTATGTATATAACTGATGATCCATTTGTTTGTACCATGGCTCTTATTCAGCAGCTGAAATTACATTGGGTGACTGGCACCTATCCAGAAATATCAATAAAGAATCTTGAACGAGAAAATCGAACTCATTCAGCACATAGTCACTCAACGGACTGTGATAAGCAGAAGGCAGCTTTGTCACCGTAATTAGCAATGCACACCAAAAAGTGAACAAACAGTTTTTAAAGGCCCTTCGAGATTTAACGAGTCATTGGTACATTTTGGCTTACTGTAATCGAAGAAACGAAACGAAACGGGGATAACACAAATAATGAAATCAGTACATAATCAGTGGAAATGGGTCATATACGTACAATATTTACAGATAATTAAAAATACATAATCAGCGAAACAAGGGTCTTAAACGTACAATACTTACAACTGTCGGTCGAAACTTGACCTGTATATTCACTTTTCAGTAGTGTATACTGGTATTACATAAAACATTTGCAGAAAATAACAATATTTGTCAGTAAATGGTTCATTTCGCTGATTACAGATAATAAATAAAACAAGAGTCTTACTACACGTTCAATATTTACAACTTTCGGTCGAAACTTGATTCAGTAAATTCACCTTTCAGTCGTGTCGTAACTAGATAAAACATTTGCCGAAAATATCGGGACTTTAATTAGTTTCGCTTCCCTAATTATGGATGTTCAGAAATCTGTAATCAGCGAAACAGGGGTCTTCCACGTATATTATTTACAACTGTAACTGGACGAAACATGACCAGTACATTCACATTTCAGTAGTGTATACAACGGCATGAAACAGTTGTCAAAAAATAAAGGGGATGATTTTTAAATTAACAGTAATATTGCAACCAGCTATGCAACGTGCAACGCTCCGAGGAGTACCAAAAGGCGTATTAATTTTATTATGACCATCAGTGTGGTGAGCTCTCTGGTTCAACCAAGGACGAGGGATGGGGCTGTCCTCCTTTACGGACCTTCCTTTCGGTGTCATCACCTTTATTTTTGACAATTGTTCCATGCCGTTGTATACACTGGACTACTAAAGCCAACAATTTACATAATAACACATATTTCCAATTATCTGTAATTAGCGAAACGAATGATTTATTGAATATGTTTAATGTCCTTATATACACTACTGAAAGGTAAATATACAGTTTGTACGTGTACGTATAAGACCCTTGTTTCGCTAATTACAGATTTCCGATTATCATATACTGGTAGTTACTGTTCAGATCGAAATACTAAAACGTGTGTGTTACTTTGATATGTTACTGTGTGTGCCATACACAACTATCATAAATATTCTTAACCAGTAATGATACTGCATTTCGAAATAAAATTGTTTTTTTTTATCTGGCAAATAAATTTAGCAGTTTATAAATATACAGTATATAATACCCTATGTATAGGATCCAATAACAGCTAAACTGCTCATTACGTAAATTGTTTGTACACAATGTGGTATATATTTGTCAATTTGAAGTGAGCAATATTATTCACGTATCATTAAAACAGATCCACTATCCAATATCATACAAGACAACTGTTTGTCCTTGTGGTTTGGTGTGGTTGTTTGTCTAGTAAATTTGTTTTGACATTTTTCGCTGACATGACTGGAACATCAGGGCGGGTTCGACATGCCCGCAGCAGATGCTTACCTTTCACGTGCACCTGGTCTGACTCCCTTATGGGGGTTTATGATGTT